CAACAGGTCTGAATTTGGACTAACAGTGGGTCAACTAGTGTCAGCAAGTGTTGTGTTCAAGCTCAAGTTTTTTAGCTTTTTAAAACTTTTTAGACCGAAAAGAATTTAAGGCCTGTGCTCAATATCAGAATATACAGTATAATTCTTCATTCTTGCAGCAACTGGGACTAGTCCAACCCACCTTCTCTCACAAAGTTCACTAGAAAACCAGCCAAAACAAGTTTAAAAATCCAGTTCTACATTTATACTATCCCTGTAGCAAACTGAAAGTGTACACACAGGCAGTTCTCTTGTTGTCTTTGTGCAGATGTACTTGGAACTGAGTTCAATTAGACCAGATCACAAAGAACTCATAACATGAATTCACTATTACAGATCTGTCCCAGATACACTTTATAAACACTTCACAACAGCTCTTTTGTTTGGGCATACAGTTAAAACCACTTTGGGGTCATTACAGGGATTATCAGGGGCATTACATCAGTGAATATGCCTGCTGTACCATTACTTGCTTTTCGGGGTAATTTTTCCCTCACTTGGAGTTGATGACAGGAAGCTCAAGTTCATTAAACAGCCACTGATGTTGCCAACAAATCTTTTTCCTGAAGACATAAGCTGCCCACAGTTAATAAGAGGGCAACTGAGTGCCACTAATGTGCCTTGCAAAACAGTTACAGTTAATCTGTAACAAAATCTAAAAAGAACAGAGTCCTGGGCATTTTAGCTAAATTTAGATAGGATTCATTAGATAAGTATGAATTTGCTGACACTCTGAACTGAGCTTGTTTACCACACTTGATCAAAAACACATTCCACCAATCCCTGTTGGGTGGTCAAGTGAATTAAAAAGGAAGAAGAAATGTACGTCATGGTGCTGTGCAAGCACAGCCCTAGCGCCCTCACTTCTTTTTTAACTGATCCCTTCTTTTTGCACTTTGAACTGTGTCAAACCACTGGATGGGATTAAGGGTCGGGTATGAATATTAGGGCTGCAACGATTCCTCGAGTACCTCGAGTAACTCGATTACAAAAAATGATCGAGGAATTTCCTCTGCCTCGAAGCCTCGTTTAATTAAATTTAAAGCTCACGTTTCGCACGGATTCTTTTTAGTGTGACACAACGTGCTTACGTCACAGGCTATGCGTCCCCTACAGTGTTGGGAGTAACGGCGTCTAATTAATTACTTTTCCCATCGTTGCAACGCCGTTACCGTTACTGAGAATGTAAAGTGGCGCGTTACTACAATTTGGTTGAATGAAGCGGTGGTTTTGAGTTGGAACGGCGTTACTTTCCAGATAACGGAGTAATGCTGATTTTAAAATTTTTTAAAAAAAAACCCCGTGTGTGTGGCGAGTGGCCGCGCATATGTCCTGTGTGTACTCTGACTGGAGAATGTAGAACAGTGTGGCTGTTTACTTATCTAGTGTGGTTGAAATGAAGGAGCAGCGGTGTCAGGCTTTCATCGGGACCGGAAACAGTGAATAACAGCGAAAATGGAGCAAACGCAGCAAAGCGAAAGTAATAAAAGGAAGAGACAGAGATGTGGAAGGTGTGGGATTATTTTAATTAAAAATGAAGGACAATCATAGTGGTGGGTGTGTACGTTAAAGTTATGGAGCTGGCGTACCGTAGTCGATAATTTAGTTGTATCGATATTAGAATTATGACTGAAAGTGGTTTACTGTCTTTGCACAATAGTATTAGTACAATAATGGTCGTTTTTCTTAAAAAGGAAACTAGAAATTTTTTGGTTGTATTATAATGTGGATTCTGTTATATAATTGCGGATACAAGCATAAAGTATGTTCCGATCCCTGTGACTCGATGGGTAACTCGATGATATATCGTAAGTGCAGCCGCTCTAAGTTTCGAATAATCAAACCTATTTGAAACATATGAATTCATTTTGAGCCTTTTTCTAGTTGGTTTTTGAGCTGTTGTGATAATCCGGTGTACCAGCACATGGCAGCGTAATCAGAATGACTTTGTCTCAAACAGTCAAATGGAACTCCCAGACGTCCCTGGTGACCTTGCTGAGTGGTCACTGAATGTATGTTTTCTGATCAAATCCTTAGTGGTGAATTTGTTTCACTACAGAATCAGCCAGTGAGGAGGCCAAGAGCTCGGTCCTCTGTGTTTCCAACCTACCCAGCAATGTGACAGAGGTGAGTTTTGTTTGTAAGTGTTATGGTCATCACATGGAATTCAATATTAATACGTTAGAAGCTGTGATATTGTAGTACCATTACAGCCAGCAGATGGCAGTACAGACTTTAACTGAAGCTTTGTCTTTGCCAGAGTGACGTGATGCTGTGGTTGGAGAAATACCATGTCTCTGATGTCAGCATCTGTGCTTTAAAGAATGATTTGAGGTGAGCTGCTCTGCTGTCTGACATCTATTGTAACATTGTGACATCACTTTCACTCATCCATGCGTTAGATTCATGTGTTGTTGCAGTCAGCTTTTCCATCATGTAAGGTTTTGTTACCTTGTTTGTCCAAAGTCCTTTTTCATGCACATCAGACTCCTCATGCAGCTGTTGAAGCTGCCAGTTTTAATGTCAAATCAGCTGTTTGCTTCCCAAACGGACACATTAACATCCGTGCCCCGCTGGCTGCATTCTCTAGAGTTGCCATAGTGATGACAAGTGGACCCCAATCTGCAGAGGCTACAGTGAGAGAGCTGAATGGCTGCAGCATGCAAGGCCATACTTTACATGTGGAGCACATCAACAGAGGCTTTGGTGGCCGCCACAGTCAGGCCTCAGCCTCCGTCAGTGGGCCAGAGTCTTCAGAGGACGCCACCAAACCACACACCTCCACGGCTGACTCCATCAGCACTGAGAGGAGGAGTGTCAGTATAACTGTTATTCATTAAATGTGCCTAGATCATCAGGACAGTACTGACAATATGTATTTACTGAACCCAGACCAGGGAAAATGATGGAGTGAAACCAAGTTGAATGGATATGATTCAACAGTTTGCTGATGCTATTGTGCTGACCTTTATTTCACTAGAATTCAGCTTGGATCATTTTTATGAGTTGCTTCCCCTATCATTGGTAATGTTTTAATACAAACTGTGGTGTGGTGGGGTCTGAACCACTGCATTAAACCAACATCCGCATCCCACCCACCCCACCACCAATAAAAGAGAATAAATAAGAATATAAATAAATGAAGCAAAAAACAATTGTACACGCTTCTACAGTTTCTCGTAGTGTAGACACTATTCTAGTCGTCCAGCAATAGTTGGCATGCTGTTTGGAATGAATGCTTTGCAATTGAATTTCCTGCTTTTGACAAGAAAAATGTGTTCTCTTTCCTCCTCTAGCACACTCAGCCACCACTTAGCTCCAGCATCAAGAACAGGAAGGTGGTCTGCATCTCCCCCACAGCAAAGGGAACCTGCGTGCCCCAGCACTACGGCACCATGGGCAGCTTCGACACCTTGATGGCAGAGCTGATCCAGCGCCACCCGGACGCTGAAAGGCAGAGGATTGTGGACGCTCTGATGGAGCTGAAGGCCAAGCACCAGGGCGTCCTCAGCGGCCTGCCCCTCAGGACCATCAGGGACATGACTTCTGAGCTTCTGACCAGGCCAGCGAGTGCCACGCAGTTATAAGAAGTGCTCAGCGCTTTAAACGTTTTTGATTTTTGCAAGTTCTTTGTTAGAATAGTATCCCAACCCCTCAAGTTTTTGTTGCTCTTACAATAGTGTGTTCTTTCCAAAAGTGGGTACATTGAAGGATTGAGGGCTTCATGCAGTGCCGCCTCTGTCAGTTACATTTGATTCAAACAATAGTTTATAAAGATTTCTAAAATGGTGTTAAAGGTTGCATATGGTTGTATATGCAGAAGTGTTGTTTGTATTATATTTTCTCCATCAATAAAAATAAATCATTGAAATACTTTCCCACCCTCAGCTTTGCTGTGCTCAACGTGAGCCCCTCAGGGCCTTCTTTGACTGATGTAGGATTGACCCCCCTGTGTTGCTGTAGCAAAGGGAACTCTGATGGTGGCGCTGCTGGGGGGTACAATCGCTGGCTCCCCTGGCTAGTCACATGCATAATCTGATTCTGAGTAATGAGTACTAATCTGCTAATATAATAGGCTTCTATTGGATATTTTCCATTAGGTACTGTTCATTTAAAGCTGCAGTAGCTAATGGATAAAGATAACTTAGTCATATTTGCTGAAACTTGGACTATATTCTGACAGTAAAGGTCAGCTTCCTCTGGCTCCTCCCACTGCTCCTAATGGCATCTGCAAGAATCCACCGGGCCCTGAACGAACAACAACCATCAGTAGCAGAGAAAGCAGATGTTTGGTGAGAATCTTTGCCAGACTTAAATATCATTCTGCAATGGAGACATGATCGCAGACCTGTCTTCAAAGCCCCCACCCCCAAAAGTGTCTTTTCATCTTTCTCTGCTCTGATTGGTTGTTTTCGTTCAGGCCCTGTGGATTCCTGTATATGCCATTAGGAGCTGGAGGAGAAGCCAGAGGAAGCTGACTGTTTGACAGATTATCTGTCTCATGTTCTACTGTCAGGATGTAGTGAAAGCAAATATGAGAAAAGGTTGTCTTTATAAAAAACACCTAATGGAACTTTAAATCATTATTTTTTTAAATAACAGTTAATGTAAAGTGTAAAAATAAATGCATATCCAGCCGGTGTCCTGCTTCACACTGCCCCTGCCCCCGGCCTTTTGGTTTCGGTGTGCCACCCACAGATAGGTAGGTTGCATGCAGTAAATATATGAGCAGCCTGTCACCATTCAGCAGCACTGCGATGCTTTGGATCATCAGTGTAAACAGTGGAGGGAAATGAAGTTAAAGTCGAGCCCCCCGCCCCCCACCCCGGCAGCTCCAGTCCTTGGGAACCTCCACTAGGTGTCCGCACCAGCAGCAGGGCTCGACCGGGAAATGGAGCCAACTCAAAGCACCGAACGGGTTAATGTAATCCCTAGTTGGGAGTGGGCGGAGACTCCGGCTGGAACGCCAACCGGGCCAAACCTAGTAAGCAACACGAATGTGCGAGAGAAAATCACTGCTGGAGTTGTGTGTATGTGCTCATCTGCTTCTGCTGGGCCTTTCTGTCCCCTCTTCCAGCTCACACCAGAACACACTGTGACCCAACCCGACCCAGAAGAGCCATGAGATCGACGGAGAAGTTTTGGAGTTGCTGTCAGCTTCTGGTGAGGTCAAGACCTGGAGGGCTGTAGAGGCGTCAGAGAGAGAGAGAGAGACACCCGGCGGATCAACAGGACTGTGGAGCGCTCGCTGTCTGCAGGCTGTAAAACAATGGAGAACTGTCTCTGTGTTTCCACGGATCCTTCATTATGAGCCCACTCTGAGCGCTTCAGTGGAGCCGACATGGTCTAAGCGCACTTTGCCGCTGTGGTTTGCGCTCATCCGACGGGACTACATCCAATGAGAGCTCTGGCGGTAGAGGAACACATCGGTGTCAACTGCGAATAGAGATACAGATATTTCCCAGAGCGTTGATAAACACGCCGAGTGGCACCATGTGGAGCCCGGGGACGCGGATGTGGCGAGCGGCGCTGTGCTGCATGCTTCTGCACACATATCTGCACACTGCTGGAGGTAGGACAAAGCAGACAAACTATTATCTGCTATCAGCCTGTTTTCCCAACAACATCATCCAGTGAGCTAGTGTTTGGTGTACACACACACACACACACACACACACTGAGTTTAGAGCTACTGTAAACTGGAGCCACATGGGGGAGAGAGAAACTAGTCAGCATTTGGTTGTTTGTGTTTCCAGCACAGCTTACAGTGGAGTGATTGCTCTGAGGAGTAGAAATATTATATTTGTGTCTTATTCAAATCTGCCTCTGTAAAAGCAAGGTCAGTAGAGGCCTTTATGTTGGAGAAATATCAAATGATCAAATGCCAATAATTGGCACAACTGTTATCATTGTGTACTGCAGACACACTGGCTGACCTGAAAACAGAAACACCCTTGCAATGTCATGCATTCTTCCTTCGTGAATATTGTAGTTTTTAGTTGTCAGATCGTCGTGATTCAGTGTTCTGGCTGCGGTTTACTTTTATTGAGATGTGTCCGTCACATTTTGTCCTTTACATACACATCAATAGAGATGCTAGAAAGACCCAACACAAACTGCAGCTTCAGGCAGCACCATAGAGCTGCAGAAGCCAACAGAAAGCGTTGGATTGGATCACATTACTGGCCCTTCATTTTAAAGGACCAGTGTGTAAGATTAAGTGGCATCTAGTGATGAGTGGCAAATGGACTCACTTCACCTTCTCCTTCCAAGTGCAAGGAGGAACTATGGTGGTAGAGGAACACACGAAAAACCTAGAGCCACTGTTTGGTTTGTTCATTCTGGGCTACTGTAGAAACATGGTGGTTCAACATGTCGAACTCTGTAGATAAAAGCGGCTCATTCTAATGTAACAAACAGTGATTCTTGTTTTCAGCTGAGTATACACTACAGAAACATACCTATGGATATTATATTTCATTTCTGACAATAGATCCTCCTAAGTGTTACACACTGGACCTTTAAGTCCTTACAGAAGTGTTTGTCTTTCCATTTCAGTCTCAGTACTGTAACTATCCTCTGTCTGTGATCTTTTCCGCCCCCTCTCAGGTCTCAACATGTGTATGAGTGGCAGCGCTACGTCATGTGAAGAATGCCTCCTCATCCACCCCAGTTGCGCCTGGTGCGCACAAGAGGTAAAGCTGTTGCATTATTTTCAGGATTTACACTCTGTGCAGGTACGGCTTCCACAGAGTTGATTGTAGGCCTTGTGTCGTTATTTTTCAACCCGTTTCTTTCACGAGTTACAACAATCACTAATTTGGGGGTTTGTGGCTTTCCATCCTTCAGGATTTTGGTAGAGGGCGGACGCTGACGTCACGGTGCGATTTTATTCAAAACTTGCAGAAGAGGGGCTGCGATTCCCGGTTCATTGAGGACCCCCACAGCAGCATTTCTGTCCTAACGAACATGCCCCTGAGTTCTACAGGGTCTGGGTCAACCCAGTACGATGTTGTCCAGATCTCGCCTCAAAAGATCTCTCTCAGCCTGCGGCCAGGTACGTATCCTACACATTCAGAGTCAGGGAGAAAGGAACTTAAAAAGCAAAGTTTTGCGAGTAAAGCTGCTGACAGATTCTTCCCACCTGCTTTGCCAACCAGGAGAACAGACGTGGTTTGGGGTGCAGGTGCGGCAGGTGGAGGACTACCCAGTGGATCTCTACTACCTGATGGACCTCTCTCTTTCCATGAAAGACGATCTGGACACCATCCGGAACCTGGGCACCAAGCTGGCCCTGGAGATGGGCAAGCTCACCAGCAACTTCAGGCTGGGCTTTGGTTCCTTTGTGGACAAAAACATGTCCCCCTTCTCTTACACAGCACCCAAGTACCAGGAGAATCCGTGCAATGGGTGGGTAGTGGCAGCAGCGTGGTTCTTTGATTGCTTCTGGGTTCAAATTCCAATGCATAGAATAATATTATAGGTGTGTCAGCCATGTTCAAACTGTACATTGTATGTGTGGTTAAGCTTAAGAGCTGTTCTCTTGTGATGTAGATGTACCACAGTAGATGAAAGGGAAACCCTGAAATAATAATTGACTCTGACCCACACGTTCTATCTTTACACATTCATAAATCATGTATAGTTGGATATCCTGCAGTTTTCATATCTCATAAAGCAGAGTAAAAATGGCCCCTCTCCTCTGGGTTGTTGGTGAGGGCAAGCTGAAAGGAAGCAGAATAGATAGAGGGGGGGGTAAAAAGCTGTGGCACACGCCGTTTGCCCCGGAGGTGAGACCGCACTGCACTAACTCACCGCCTGCCATCGCGCATCACTTCCCATCTAGGTTATGGCGTTGTTTTGGTCCGTGTGCGTGTGTGTATGTCACACACAGCGAGGCACAGAAGGCAAGTATTTAAAGGGATAGATGTCAACATTTTGACCCCTAAGCACCCTCTGCTATTGCTCATCCCGTATATACAAGACGAGAAAAAGATCAGCTGGATCTTGAGGAATGTCTCATTTGATGTTATGTTCCACCGTTATCAAAGCACAATGAACTCCTCTTGAAATAAACCCTTCAGTGTTTTAATTTTGTACAAACTAGTCAGTTTATCATGTTTTCAGGCTTGGAGAGTAACAGATTACATGTTAGGATGCAAAAAAAACTGTAATCTTTTACAGTTACAGATGTAATTCAGTTAGTTATATTTAGGAAAAATTAGCATTATTTAGCAGGATTACAAATTTAAAATCAGTTTTTAATTGAAATGCACTGAGCAGAGGACACAGTTTTGATTCTAAAAAGCGTTCCATTCTTTCTATTTCCATTTCCTTTTCTAAGGTTACATTGTTCTGTTGTCTTGTAGAATACACTTACATCAATACTTTTTATTGACACTTCCTTTCTTTTGTCTTTATTTTCGTATTTGGTCATCCAAAAGTAACAAAGTAATCCGGTTACATTACTTTAATATTGTGATGCCTGGATCAGGTTACTGACTACATGTTTTAACAGGTAATAAGTATCAGATTACATTTTTAAAGTAACCCTCCCAACCCTGCATGCTAATAAGTAAATGAATGCAGATAAAACAAGGCTGAATCTTTTTTCCACTTTGAATATTGTCCTGATGTGACTTCCAGAGGAAATATCTGGACCTCTAACTATCTATCACCCCTTAACAGATACAAGCTGTTCCCCAACTGCGTCCCCACCTTCGGTTTCCGCCACATCCTCTCACTGACGGATAAAGTGGACCGCTTTAACGAGGAGGTCCAGAAGCAGATGGTATCTCGCAACCGGGACGCACCGGAGGGCGGATTCGACGCCATCCTGCAGGCTGCTGTTTGTAAGGTGACAAGTGTCTTTCTCTCTTTTCTTCCACAGCCTGACATTCATGCATTGCAGAGTCTTATTTAGTGACAGCACACATTTGGTTTGGATGGAGGGGAAAGCTGCCGTGAAACCGCTGAGACGCCCTTGTGACAAGCATCTATTTGCTTGTTAATTAAAAGCACCGGGGGGTATAGACAGGAAGTGCAGTCTGGTGCAGCTGGTTAAACATGAGGACGAGTCTTTGGCAGGCCCAGTCATAACCCTGTTTTCCTCCCAATTTAATTGTTTTCTACAGGAAGAGAATGACTCCCTCCATTGAGCTCCTGCCTTGTAATTTACTGGTGCCTCACTGCAGGCTGGGCCGGGTCTGTCCGAAAGCCTCATTGATCCTAGTTTGTTTGTTAATTTAATTCAGTAGTGGAGGGCAGTTCAGCAAGTCAATGTGAATGTTATCACGTGAATATGACTGAAAATCAATAAATTGAATTAAATAGTTGTGTCCAAAAGAAAATACCCTTTTTAGTGCACATGACTTATACACGGTTTATTTTCTTGCAAAGTTTCTTTTTTTTTTTTTTTTACTATAAGTCTAAAACAACAGCAGAAAGCTCAATGTCACACAACATATTTTCTGTTTTTAAGAGGCCTCTGATGGGGTATCCACAGCTCTGCTGTAAACAGTACAGGCCAAATAACAAACAAAAGAATGACAGAATCCCTCTCCTCAGTGGTGGCAATGTTGTGTTTCTGTAGTGGCATGCATTAGTCAGCACTCTGTCAGATGCTCACTTTGCCGTCGCCTGTTGTTTCCTATTGATAAAGGCCAGGACTGGGCCTGCAGCAGAGAGCTCTGGCTGTTGTTACACTCTCACTGTTTTGTGTGTGTTTGGATCAGTGGTTGTCAGGCTTGTGGGAAGTATCCATTATGGGTTTTCAGTTAATGACGATGCCTGTAGAAAGCAGGATTTAAAGGTGTTGACATGAGGGGTGGAGCTGTTCACAAAATTCAAGGTTGGTTTCCTGTTTAGGGGGTCAACATATGTGGTGTAGTTTGGCGTGTTCTTTAGGGGAGAGCGGTTGCCTTAACAAAATTCTGAATTCAAACAAAAATTATGCTTTTTTTATTTTTTAGGGTTGCACAATTAATTGAAATATTATTGAAATCCCAAGATAACCAAGAAGACCAAGTGCAATATGCAAATTGTAGAAGCTACAGTTTATAGATAAAGGTTAAAGGTAAACTGTGTGACAAGCAGCATTATAATGAAGTACTGTAGAGCTGCAGAGATGTCCTGGCTGACAAATCTGAATTTGTGATGCAAAAGTAATGCAATATGATGTTTTTACGATTGGGCAGTCCTATTATTTTTTTTATAAAAACGGTCACATTACTAATCATATGCTGAAATCTTGCATCCTCCTTGACTTCATAGGACTCTATATCTTTGTCTGTAAACCCTCAGTCAGTTGCTCTTTCCTACCAGACTCCCACCTTCTAGTGCTGTCTGCGGACATACTGTCGACGCAAATGGTTCATCATATTGGAAGTATTGGTGATAGCTTAAGCTACACGTGTTGCACACAGTTGCACATTTTGGTAAAAACTTCATTTTTTTGAAGATTAGTGTGGGAAAGATTGTTTTTGCATCACAGATTTAATTTAATTGAAAAAAACTATTACCTACCTAGGCCAGGGCATCTCTGAAGTACTGTAGTTTGAGAATTACAGTACATCATAATGCTGTTTGTCACACATTTAACCTTTGATATGGATATTGAATTTGACCATATTGTGATTTTGATAATATTACGATTAATTGTGCAGCTCTAATCCTCATAGCTAGATTTAGAATCAGAATTGGGTTTATTGCCAAGTAGACATGCAAGGAATTTGCCTTGGTAAATTGGTACATAAGAATTAAACATAAACAAATAAATAAAAAAAGAGAGACAATATGTACAATACAAATGTTACTTAAATAAATGAATGTGCATGAACATTGTCCAGGGTATGTTCAAGTTAGCAGTGTGACACAGATTGGTATTTGCAATGGGATAAAATCTAATGGATGTGCAGTAATGTAACATAGACTAACAATAGATTCAGTGTGGGTGGTGGGACTTGTTGAACACTATGCGTAATGCTCCCATACATCAGACCAAAACAGTGCTGGTGGATCGTCTAACTGTTGGCTACTCTGTCTGTCCACTGGCCATTTCCAGGACTGACTGACAGCTGCACACTACACTTAATCTGCCCCCCACCCATAACTTTATTTGAAGTTTTTTTTTTCTGCGCATGCCTTTTTGACCTTATATAAATGAACCAGACAATACATACACAACCCGACCTGGCGCTACTAATGTTTCCAAATCATCCTTTGGTATAATCCTAACCAAAATAAATCATAGCAAGATTAGACTGAAAATACAAAAAAGCACATTTAAGCTGCTGTACTCTGTAAACAGGAGGAGATAGGTTGGAGAAAGGAGGCCTACCACCTGCTGGTGTTCGCCACAGACGATGTACCTCACCTTGCTCTGGACGGCAGGCTGGGAGGCCTTGTCCAACCCCACGATGGACGGTGTCACCTCAACGACAAGAATGAGTACAGCGCCTCCACAAAGATGGTAAGGAGAGCACAGTGGTGTTTTATATCGGAGCTGGTCTGAAATAAAGACCCCTCCATTGTCCTTTATGCAATGAAACATTACAGTAACTTAAGAGAAAAGGAGGTGCAGCGTAATCTCATGCTGATATGGAACTCTATAGTTTATACAAGCGACTTTTTCAATTGGAAATTCAAGTGGAATTATCTTATAGCAGTAAATTCACCCTGCAGCTTAAATGCTCTAAGAAACTTGAAACTGTACATGGAATTTACTGTTACACTCATTGCCATTGGCCAATAAACCTCTGGTACTTTTCCTTAGAAACTCCAGCTGTGAAAGGACGCTTTAATTTCTATTGTTTACTCAAAGAATGACTAAGCAAGATGTCTGCTATGTGGAGCCCGCTACCTTCTTTGATGACAAGGAGTTCCTGGCTACACTTGGCTCATATCCCAGCCCGCATTACCGGATTTACATAAGTACTTCTTATGTCAAATGTATTAGCAAAATCCGTCTTTATTCCAAAGACAAACTTTAGTGAATTCAGCTGAAATTAGGCATTTTTTTTTAAATTCTTATTTAACCCGACAACTTAAGCGCTACTTGCTTATTAAGCCTGTGGTGGTAATTGCAGAGGGAAGGGCCAATACACACGTCCACACCTGGAGGCTGCTAGTAAAACCACTGAATCAACTGTTGACTTGTAAATACATGGCTGGCTTATCTGTCTTAGCCTCCATTTTCTACCAAACTCTTCTAACTGACACGTGGAGCAGTTTGGATATGAGTTATAAAGCTAATGAGGAGCCAGTGGATTGTTTTTGTTAGATGCAGAAAAAGCACACAAAGAAAGTCTTTCACACATAAGTTCATGCTGTGTTTGAAGATGCCAGAGGACTAATGATATAAAAACTGATCAATATCATGTGTTCATAATTTCACAAGATTAATTGGTAGCTGTGTTCATCATACAAGAGCTACAGGAGAGAAATTCTGTTGTAAAGGGAGAGCATTTTCCTTTGACTACAGTCCTATTATGTCTTAAACTTCTATTTCTCTTTCTGTTTGTGGGACACATTGTCCCACATTTCTGGTTTTGACCGTTGGATTGGTGATGGATATGAATCACTGGGAGTTTTTTTATTTTCTCGGTCCATTTGAGATAAAAATCTCAGTAGGGTCTGAATTGCATCCAATGAAAATAAGCAAATCTTAAAGTGCAATCTGGAGAGCTCTCAGACTCTTTGTTTCTGATTGTGGAACGAGATAAACATGAGCCCAGAAGAAGAATCCACATCCACCTTTACTGTGGCGTCAAAAGGCCAGCAGAGCAAAGTAAACACAACACTGGGGTCAGAAGTGCATCGACATTTGTAGGCTAGCTTCCTGACTGGGAACTCTAAATACGGTATGTGTGGACAAAAATACCCATAATGCCTCTTTCCATGTCTCTCTACAGGACTATCCCTCACTGGCTCTTCTCGGGGAGAAACTGGCGGAAAATAACATCTTTCTCATCTTTGCAGTGACGAAACGGCTGTACGTTATTTATAAGGTACTTCGATTTCACCATTTTATCTTAAAGGCGCAGGATGCAGGATTTGGCCTTGCTTTGGGTTTGTTGTTGTCTTTATGTTTTTGTCAAGATAAATGCCTTGTCTTTTACTGCAAACCAAATCTACCTATGAAATACAAATAAAGTAACCTTGAACCAGCAAACTGGTTAGAGGGTTGCGTCTCTACAGATAAAGACACTACTACACACTTTTAGTCGGTCTACACATTGTTTGGAAAGTCCTGCACAGTATGCCTTTAAAGTACACATACATGTATTATTTATTTATTATTTTGTGTTAAGGGGACTAATACTGCTCTCATTTCTTCCATGACAAAGAATTTTACTGCACTCATACCTGGAACTACAGTAGAAATCCTGGACCAGGACTCTAAGAATGTCATTCAGCTGATCATCGCAGCTTACAATGTGAGTAAAGAAAGTCTGT